ATGGGAAGTTGTTCTCATCAGGCACGCTTAAATATAAATCCTCCCTGTGATGTGACGATTGATGAATTAGCTAGTTACTTTGAGACTTTTGTGCATATACCTAAAAAAATGAGCTCTATGGCTGAGATGATGTATATTTGACTATATTGTTTTTTCTGTGAGTTAAAATGTTGGTGAATATATATTTGTTCTTCCAGTCTAGTAATTTCAATCGACAATGGGAGCATTCAGCCAATGTGAAGCAATCCAGTGGTGCAGCACTTTATGCTGAATAGCAGTAGCCATGGAATAAGTTTGACAGTTTGCAACATTGACCAACATACTAGTAAATTTGACAGCCAAGTGGAGACTGCTGTCAAATTGATAAAGCTATCCCATGCTACTGCTGTTCAGCAGCAACTTTATCTTAGCTGGATGCTCCCAATGTGTTTTATAGAGTCTAAACTATGTTTTGGTTTGAGGATAAAATGGATTTATTTTATAGGACATGTATATACTACTTTACCTTCTCTTATATTCTATGTTATAAAGTATTAATCAAGCTTTTGAGAAATATTTGGTCAATGTAATCTTATTTTCTGTGAAACAAACATATTTGTTTTGTTTAGTTCTAGAGAGTGTGAGCTATTCAGTTCTTAATTGATATTAAAATTTAAAAAGAATCTATTTTCTGATAAATTTATTACAACAAAAACATATCTACATAGGATTGAGATCACATGGACATATTTTATACATTTAGTATAACACCTTTGTATTGTGTCTAATATCATTTCATACTTGCTGCTGGCTTGGAAGACAAAACTTGGGCTGAATTAGTATGTACAACTGATCTGGATAGTTTTATTTGAACTACTACTACTAAACTAGTTGAACACATTATTTTAGATTTTTTTGTAACATGTCTGAATATATTTTGGAACAGACTGACTATAACCTACACTCTGTATTTTATTATGCCTAAACTCCTCAATAAGCTATATAGAAGATAAGTACAGGTGTGGCACCATAATTCCTTTTTTTCAAAAGTTTAAGGAAGCCATGAATCAGATTTTTATTTGTTTTACTTCCCCCGCCTATTGTAATCTCTGAATTTCGGAAATGAGATATGTTTCTTGGATGTTATATGACAAGTACAACACGAAAACCACTCATTTCCGTCGGTCCATATGCTTATCTTATGACCATCTATAACTTGAGAAGTACTGCTCGGATGTCGACGAAATGTTTACATATGTTACTACTGTTCCAAGGATACAAAGCTTTGAAAATTGATCCAGTGGAGGCGGAGCAAAAAAATGAAAATCCTTAATGTCGGTTTTCCACGTTCAGGCGATTCTAATCATTTGCGGAATTTTTTTTGTAAGGGTTGAAAATTGGAGGTGAGGGAGTGTATCTCTCAATTTTTTTACGCCTCCTACCCCAGTAATTCTACGCACATATTAGGCATATTTCACTCATCATAGATGTCCCCGTACATTTGCTCTTTAAACTTGCAAATATCTCCTAGAGTTGTTGACGGTACCCACAATCATATACGTGCGACGTCATCCCCTGATCGACAAGCGTCGTCGTCGGTGATCGTACCTCACAGTCGCCATCGCTTCAACAGTACTGGGGCCAATATCGTCATTAATGGCGGATGGTTATCGAACGACCATGTGCACACCAATTCCTCTCTGGGGGAAGAGGATGGTCATTTCATCTTTTGTTATATACATTCTCAGAAGGGCTACTTGTGCAAACATGATCCTTTACGAACTGATGACAGCGTACCTGGGAAGTACAAGATTCAACTTAGTTGAGGCCATTTTTTATAATTTAGGATTATGTCTAAAGTTTTGCTTACATAGTTTTGAAGATCAAATCAGATAAATGACGACCTCCATACACCGAGGAAATCGATTTCTGGCGTTTGTTATGACGTGCCAGCATATGTTGGTCATTTGTTCTAGGATGTTGGTCTTTAAATCTCGTAGGGTCCTTGGACGGTTCACATAAACCACGTGATTTCAAAAAACACAAGGTACAAATCTGGAAAGCGTGACGGCCATTCCGAATCACCCCCAATTGAGATGAGCCGCTCTGGGAAGTGTTTCCTCATAACAGCCACCGATGCCCTTGAAGAGTGTGCCGATGCACTATCTTGTTGAAACCAAATGACCCCTAAGACCAACTCACCTAGCCGTAGAAAAAAGTCATGTAACATGTTTACATAGCGATCCGAATTCACCGTTACTACAACTTCATTTTGCGCGCAGAACTAGGGACCAATAATCACATCTGAGGAAATTGCGTCTTCAGGAACGACTTCAAGAAGACGCTTACACGCGTTCGTCCAAAAATTGACGTTACGTTCCTGCACAATTGCCATCTTGTAAGGATAGAAAGGAAGCTCATAATGAAAAATTATTCTTCTCCACAGGGCGGACGCCTGTTTGCGCACAGACACCCTGGTGATCGCAACATTGAAGCTCTCCTTGCCTCGATGTTTTCAGGTGATCTAACGGGCCGAGGGACTCCAGGCCTCCTTCGTCTTGTCGCACTTCCAGCTTGTCTGAACTTAATGGCCCACGTAACAATTGATTTCCGGTCCGGGACAGAAACCAACGAGGCTATATTCATGCGATTTCGAAAGGCGCGCTGGTTAGGATCACAGATCACTCGCGCTCCGTTACGACATCGAAGGCTAAATGGAGCACATTTAAAAAAAATAAGTTTTGCTGTCGGATTCTGTATGTATATGGACATGTTAGTAGCCTTTGAAATTTCTGCCATGTTGAAAGGCACCACTCGGTCGTAGTGAACATCATTACATGCAACCTACCAGCATGATATAGTTAAGTGGTGTTAAATCACTTCTGGTACTATCACTGGCACTGACTGTTGATAGCATGTTTTATTAAAAATTCTATATACTCGTTTAAACAGTACACAAGAGAAATGTTGATCAGAGACAGCTCATTATCCCTGAAATTTTTTTTTGCAACTGCCGGGGTCTTGCATTAGAATAATAAGTTAGATTTTTTATGCAAGTTTGCCTGCAATTCTGGTGGAATAGTTAGTAGACTACTACAAGTTATCAATGCATACAAATGTTCCTAGGCCGGTCCAGTAGGGTTGTGTAATTATATTGTTTACAGATGTCGGATGGTCGGCGATTGAAACTAGTTCTTGGATATTAAAACCGCGTATTCTGAAAAGTAAAAAAACAATTATGGGTTAGGGATGTCAATATTTCATTCATTTAAGTTGGCTTACCTTGCTCGTTTGATAGAGTAATAAATGGACAGTTTTGCAACTGCAAGTGGTTGGATTCATTGTTTTGAAGACACAAAACAATGTCAACTGCGACACAAGACTTGCATTGCAATGGTCTTACGGGCTTCTGTCATAAAACTGCTTTCTAGTTTTCAACTGGTTCCAATTATTACAAACACTATATAAAATAAATAAACATTATTTATTTAGTTAATAAGGACGTTTTACATCATTACAAATATAAAAACCTAAACAAACATTAAAAAAACGTACTGTACACATGTTTTAAACATCTGTAAATGAGATTTATTTAACACTATCAGATATCTTATAGAGACAGATACCGGCTCTTATCTCTCATCTATACATCACAGGTAAACTGAACCAGTTTTCGGGTTCTAGTTGCTTTGGGGGTGATCAAACATCACATATGTTTTCTTTGGAACAGTGAGTTTACACGGTTTCTTAAACAGTTTACTTTACTTACTGCAAATCGGTTTAACAAAACCAAATATACACATAATCATAGAATAACAGCGGCCATGTTTACATCGTAGATCTTTAACAAAGATACGTCATAGGAAGAGAAAATGATTTGGTGCATTTTATGTAGCTGTATACGTATACCCTATTTCAGGAGTATCCATTACGCATTGACGACTACTGAGGTGAACAGCTGGACAGGAAGTGACATTTTTGTGTTAGTCTGCGACGTTGGCAAAAATAATAGGGTGTAAATCTAGTAAACTTGTTTTTAGCGTTTGTTTTTTGTATGCAAATCAACTTTCTAATAAAAGAACTGTTAACAAGTACAAAATGAATCTATAGCGACGAAAAAAAAAAACAAAATACGGATTGAATGACTGATCGTCAGAGTTATGTGCCCTGTGCCGAAATGGGGAATTTTGAGATATTACTAGATAATCAGCTGTCATTCTACCGTGATGGATACTCGTGAAATAGGGTATATTTACTTGGTACAGGAAGTGAAGTGAATTTCTCAAGCTATGATCATTATTTGTAAGCCACAAAGCACCAATAAATCTTGTTGTTGATGTTTCCTGCGTTCATGCTGCTCTGTGCCCAGTTATACCGTGTACTATGCGCTATACAAGCACTTCGTTAGCTATGGCTTAACTGGCCCCCATGAATCGTCGTGGAACGAGGAGGTGCTATTCTACGCCACTCTCAAATAACGCTGTTTTTATTCGTTCCAGCGTTACCGCATGTTGCGATGGTACTGATATTCTGAATATATTTTTAATAATTCCAGAAAACTGCTAGAAAACCCCAACTGTGTTCGGTATTGGTTTGTAAATATTTGTGTCCGTCACATATGCATCTTAGGTAATAGTTGGAATATGATGATAGCAGCTAGATCCAATCATATTTTACTTCCTACATTTGTCTGGTTGGCTGAGATTTCACTCTCGTATTTCTCTAGCATAAAATTATCAATTGCTCCAATTGCCATGCTGGTTTCGTGCGTTTATGTCGTTCTGTGCCTGTCTACAGCGCGCTTGGCTAACTCTAAACATGGCCGTTGGTGTCTTGTGATTTAATGAATAGTGCATTTGACAACACTTCAATGGTATCTTTAGTAAATAATCAGTAGATTGTAAGCGGTATGTGTACAAGGAAGAAATTCGGTCGTCATGAAAATTGTAATCACCTTGTGGAACTTTTTTGTGAAACTAGAATTTCATGATGTTCAGTAGTTTTATTCTATGATATGTTGACCCTAATTGACTATTTTTTTGCAAAAATGAGTAGATTTGAAAAACTAAAAGCCTTATGATGTCCGGAACAGGCTAAGGAGTCTTTTCATATGTGTACATATTACACTCAAGGATATTGGACAGATCCATCAGCATACACTGAGCACAAAAATCTAATGTGTCCACACCTCTGTTGAAATTTGTGCGTAAATGTGATAGCAAAAGGTCGTGATTGTTGGCAGGCGTACTTTTTAATATTACGAATGTACATTGCATAAGTACTGTTCCCATTTAATTATTGTTTATAAAATTGGTGTTTACCCTTTGAATTAGAATATAGCTAAAAACCACGTTATTTAATAAAGTAAACTTATCTATCAGTTCAATAAAGCTTCTAAAAGTGGAAATGCCAAAAACTGCCTGAAGATATTCAGAAACTGCTATATTTATAATGAGCTGATTGACAAAACAAAGTTTTATTAATGTTGCATACTCATTTATTTTTCCACAACATGTTGCACATTAGAAAATATTCAACAAACTTTGTGAATAACATGTTTGGTAGACTGCAAATGAGAAATATCCCCACGATGAAACACGTAAATCTGGGCAAAAGTAAATTTGAACAAAAAGCGCGATCATAAAATCTGGGTAAGCATCGATAGATTATTATAAACCAATAATCAGCAACACTGACAAGGTTGAAGCTATCGATTTTTATTCCATTTTTGCCACATAGATCACACGAAAAACATGAATTATTGATGCTTTGTGTCTTGACTATGGTTACAGCGTAAATATGGACATCCACAGCCCATACACGGACGTTTCCTGTCAAAATAGTGAGCTCCTTTAGTTTTTTTTCCTGAATATTTGATTTTCGTTCGAATTTACACGTGCCAAGAGTCTTTTCGATTAATACGTCTGGAATTATTAATTAACAATTACATCCATGATGATTCCTTTTTCCCGCATGAAAGAACGTTCCTATATGAGGTGCAATTGTAACACCTATTTCATGATCAAAAAGTACCCGGAATTTTTAATTTCAGTAAACTGCGCATGGAAGAACCGGTGATTATGATTTTTTTTTGTTGGTACCACCAGAACTGACATTCGTGTCAATATTTTTGCGTCAATATTTATGAAGCGAATAATGATCCGACCTTCATGAGACGCCTAATTACTGGTGATGCGAAAGCCGCTCAATAGTGAAGGCTGTATTGACTATTTTCTTTGATTAACAAGGAGTATCTACCACCGGACCAGACAGTGAATAGAATATTACTTGTCCATTCTGAAGCATTTCAGGGATACTATATGTCGTAAATGGCCAGAATTGTGGGAAGATAATTCGTGGATTTTGCACGATGATAACGCGCCGTCGCATCGGGCCAGAGTTGTGCTTGATTATTTGACCAAACATCTCAAGTAATGCCATTGAACAAGCACCGTATTCACCTGATATCTCCCCGTGCGACTTTTTTCTCTTCTCAAAACTCAAATTACTACTTCGGCGAAAGATATTTCAGTCCATAGATGACATCAAGCAGAACGCGACGAGAAAGCTAAAGGCCATACCTTAGGCGGCCTACCAGCGGTGCATGGAGCAGTGGATGAAACGCTAGTACATGTGTGTTGCTTCAGGTGGATGTTATTTTGAAGACGATAAACTAAATTTGATTGAAAATTAAGCCGTTTTTGTTTTATTCATAAATTCCCGATACTTTTTGATCATAGGGTATAACCTTTTTACTCTGAAAGGCAATTTTTTGCCCGATTAACACTTAAAAAGTATGCTTTCACCATAGCTTGAAGACGACTTTGGTGGAATCGTACCTTAGGCTATACATTACTTTGAGGTTAGCTGTTAAACTGATATTAATCATACAGATTCGTTTAACTCGATTTGAGTTAAGCCGGTTTGGAGATCCATGTAAACTCACCGAATGACAATACTATATAAATCATATATACATACTAAGTTACTATCAGTGTTGCCGAACCTACCGATTTTTCGGTATTTCTACCGAAATGAGACCTTGTTTACAGAAATATTGAAAACGATTTTTTTTTAAATAATTCGGATATTTTCATTTTTTCGAAAAAGAGATACAACCAAAAATAATGCTGAAAAAATGAATTATTAGTCGTAGTCTATGTGGTTTCATGTCCCATACCTATCTTATACACTTAAGCAGTCGGGCACACGAAGGACAAAGATTTGGGTTGTCTATAATTATATACGCACATCATTTAATCCGCATTCCCTGTATTGGTTTTTGTGCGTACAAGAGGTACAGACTGATACATCAAGCGTCATTACCTCATTACCGGAGAAGCAATAAGGAAAGCAAAGCTCATCTGTTTTCAATAATCAAATATTAAATTAAAATGCTAGATGATAAGGTTTCAACTTCAGGAATAAAACCGAAAAATATTCACATCTTATAAACAAGAATAGAAAAAGGTGTGTCCAAGACAATTCCAAACAATAAATATAAGCCATCTTTCAAAAGCTATTACAAGATTTAAATCGAATAGAAATCCTAATGAACATCTTTCAAAAATGGTTATGAATGAATGTTTCAACATTATTGGAGATAAGTTATTATTGTTAGTGAATCACTGTTTAGTGTATGGCGAATTTCCTTCAAAGTTAAAATGTTTTATAATTACTCCTGTTCCAAAAGTGCAGAATTCTGAGTTATATACAAACATGCGGCCAATTAATGTACTGCCAAATGTCGAGAAGCTCTTAGAAGGAATCATATATGAACAAGACATTGAATATATTGAAGAAAATAAAATATTGACAAAATTTCAAGCAAGATTCAGAAAAAAGTATTCTACTGAAACAGCAATTCAAATGGTAGTAGAAGAATGGAGGCGAAATATGGATGAAAAAAAGTTTACAGTAACATTATTCTTAGATTTCAAGAGAGCATTTGACAGGGAGAAATTGTTAATGAAATTGCATTGCTATGGATTTCAAGGTTCAGTATTAAACTTATTACAACATTATGTAATCAATAGAAGTCAAAGAACTAAAATCGGCAATACATTATCAAACATTGAAAACATTTCGGTAGGTGTGCCGCAGGGTAGCAAAAGGTCCATTACTATTTATTTTATATATTAACGATATTCCTGATATTTTACAACACTGCAAAATGCAACTGCTGATGATACATTAATATACCTATATAAAATAAAGACATTGAAACTTCAATAGAGCTGTTAAATAATGATATGACAAACGTAATAAATTGGTTAAATGTAAATAAACTTAAACTAAACACAAAGAAAACAAAATATATGCTAATAGAAAAATCTTTTGATCAAAATACGATAAATCTTACAATCAATCATGAAAAAATTGTGTCAATCGAATCATTTAAATATTTGCGCATATACGTAGACAGTAAATTAAAATTTGAAGGGCACTATGAATATATTATTTCAAAAATATCCAAGAAAATAAGTTACTTTTATAGAATTTCGCATAGACTAACCGTTTATTCTAAAAAAATTGTGTGCAACACTATCATTCTTCCTCATTTGTTATATTGTTCGACTATTTTGTACACTGCAAATGAAACTGTATTTTCAAAATTACAAATATTACAAAATAAAGCTACGAGAATCATCTTAAATAAATATACTAGAATAAATTCTATGCTGAAAGAACTACAATGGTTAATTATCAAAAATTTCATAGTCTACTTGGTTTTCATTATAATATTCAAGTTAAAAAATCATCTACTAAATCACTTAGAAAATTTTATTGTATTGAACAATGAGTGCCACAATTATTCTACTAGAGGAAGTATAGACTTTCATTTACAAAACTGCAGTAGCAATATAACGAGCAAGTCAGTATTTCAAAAGGGATTGTACGAATTTAATAATTGAGTAATGATATCAAGATGTGTGCCAGTTTGAAAATCTTCAAAGGGAAATTGATAAAATATCTCATGGGAAACCAGAATTCATAGTGAAATTTTATATAAAAATATGTAGTCATGAAGTCATAATATATTTATATACCGTGTAGTATGGATATTACGGACATTGTAGCATTAATGCTAAATAAATCTGAAACAAACAAACAAACAAAGATGATTGCAAATGAGTTTTATTGTACAAGTCTTAATAAACGAGTTGATATTTTTTCAGGAAAAAATCCTCTTAAAAAATCCGTGTTGTGTGGTTATATGTTCGCGCGCAATACAAAATATGCTCATTTTTCATACACGGTGTTAAATGATACAAAGCCCCTTGATCCGGCATTGGGCCTGATTTTTTCATCCTACCAATTTTGCCCTTGAATCTACCGAATTCCAATGACACTAACTACCGACTACGTCTTTCTCGGTTCGGCAACACTGGTTACCATACAAAGTTACAATGTTAAAAATCCAGCAAACTGTATCGGTTATAAAGAAACGTAGGATGGTAGTTGGATTAAGGTACATTAGAAATCTTCGAGAGCACTTCAGACGTCAGCAAACTGCGTGAGGGCTGCCTTCACTCTGGAAATTGAATCACTATTCATCTCCCTTTGGGATAAAAATAAAGTGAGTAGAAATAACCATGTGATAAGGATATTTATTATTTCACGTAAAACAAGAATTACAACAAAATAAAACTAGAGCATTAAAAGTCTTAGCTCATTATACTGCATCATGCTGATTATATCCAGCTCATTATGTATGGTAAACATTTCTTTTCAATTGTATTGATGACGTTAATATTCAATCAATTTTACTGTCTTCGCCACTAGGCGAGCAAGTATTGTCATCGCGAAAAAATTCGAATATGATATGTGTAATGTGACATGTGCATCACGGAAAACCATGTCACTCATTTCCGTCGGTCTGCCTGCCCGCCAATCTTTGGTCTGTCTATAACTTGGAAAGTACTACTCCGATTTGGATGAAACTTGTCCACAAGGTCATTACTATACCAAGGACGAAAAAGCTTTGTAGTTTTTGAAAATCGGTTCAGTGGTGGCGGAGAAAAAAAAAGCTCAAACTTCGTTTTTTGACGTTTCCTGATGGTTTTTGAAAAACATTTTAGGAGTAAAAAATTGGGTGGCGATGGTATGGGTGAGTGTATTCCATTTTTTTACGTTAGTATATTTATACGCTTCCAACCGCGATAATTCTACGCACCCATTATTTCACACATAGTTTTCCCCATACATTGGTCGTTAAAGCTTAGAACGATACAGAAATGTTTTCGATATGCGTCTCCTTCTGCTATCTGGGTTCAGCGTCCGGCGTCGTTACGCAGCAGATCGTTATCTGCTTGGACTGTTGGACTGACTTGATCGGTTTAATTTTTATATTGTACATACAGGGTGTTCCAGAAGTAACACGCCAGAGTGACACGGGAAGTAGATTGGCTGCAGATCAATCTGATAAAATCAACATGACCTTAGCAAATGTTTTCAAGTTTTCGAGATACATATTGCCAATTTTAAGCTTTAACCCTACTTTTTGTTTCTTTGTTGCCTGTTACGGCTATAAAGAACTTCTAACTTATTTTTTTCCTGGGCTACCATTAATAGTTGGTTGAGACAACCGAGTATTCATTTCATTGAAAACTAGCATGGTATGCTAAAAAAAATTATTACATTTTGTTTCAATGTGAAAACATTTACTAAAGTTTGACTAATTACTGTGAATAAAATGTACCAGACTGAATCAGCAAATGATCTTAAAAATTTACTTAGATTTTATGCAACATCATCTACCCATTATTTTGGAAGATGTGCCCCTTGAGACAATAAGAAGGATGTGGTTACAGAATGATAGGTGAACTGCACACTATGCTAGTGCAGTAAGGGGGTATCTTGATGAAACATTCTCTAGAAGATGGATTGGTTGGCTAGGACCAATTTGGTGGCCCCCGCGCTCCCCAGACCTGAACCCTTTGGATTTTTTTACTGGGGATATTTATAAGACAAGGTGTTTATAAAACCAGTTCGATCAGCCGCTGAGCTGCGTTATCAAATCCATCAAGCAGCACGAGAAATATCCGATTTAAGTTTGAGACGTTTAAAATGACAATTTTTAAGATGCAGGTTGTGTAATAAGAGTCGGTGGACTTTGAGAATCTGTTATGAAAATAATAATAATAATAATAATGATTTATGTCAGGTAATATTTACATTACAAGATGTTAATTTAATTTTCATTTAGATAATTTGAGATGTTAATAATGATTGCTAATTCTTTATTTGATTTGAATGTTGTAAAAGTCAACGGAAATTAAAAAAAATACAACCTAATCTGTTCATCATTTTGATGAATGGAAAAAAGGATAATGATAACTGTTTTAGACATTTGCTAAAATAAAAAGCTATCACCCCAACTACAAAGTTAAAATTTGGACACAAAAGACTGCTGCACTTATTATTTCTCATTTGTAGTTTTTCGTAAGTATTACTTCAATGACAAAAGTTGGAATTATTCAGTTTTTAGTAAAAAGAGCCTACAAATGTTATACTACTCGAATTTTGAGAGAGCATTAAATAGTAAGTTTTTGAGGTCATTTGCTGATTCAGTCTGGTAAATTTTTTATCACAGTAATTTATCAAACTTTGGTGAAGATTTTCGCATTGAAACCAAACTTAATATTTTTTTAGCATATCATAGTTTTCAATGTTGGTTGTCTCAATTGTAGCCTAGGGAAAAAAATCATAAGTTAGAAGTTCTTTATGGCCATAACAGGCAAAAAATGAGCAAAAAGTAGGGATTTTTTGAAAAAACTTAAATGTGGCAATATCTCAAACTAGAAAACTTTTACTAAGGTCATGTTGATTTTACCTGATTGATCTGAAGCCAATATATCTCCCGTGTCACTCTGGCGTGTTATTTCTGGGACACCCTGTATTCATAGCTAGTTTTTCTCTCGGAGGGTTTAACTTGTGCTGATAATCCTTTATGAACTGATGACGACGTTGCTTACGAAGTGCAGAGTCAGCCCACTTGTCGCCATTTTTTCATCCACGATAATTCACGGAATCAAAAATAATTTCAATTAATGATCTTTGTGGCCTGCCACAGTTTAGTACTGATGTTGCCCAACCAGCACATAGTATTCGCACCAGCAAAATACTCTCATTGATGTACGGTATTAGTGGGCATTGACTACCTACATGATTACATGCAATGGATACCGACGAGCCGGAGACGATTTAAGTATGATGCTGTATAATGAGAAAACACCTTGAGAAAGAAATAATTTCTTTGAATTCTAATCTAGGAACTAAAAGGTACTACAGAAAACTTATATATCAGTCGAATAAACCTGCTAAAATTATCCAGGTAATCTGTCGAAAATTATAGATAAGATCCAAGGGAAATTATAAGGAGACTTTAATGAAAACGTGTCAAAAAAATCATACATTTTTCCAGCTAAAATAAAATATTAAAATTATTTTATATTTATTGTTACTAATAGAATGCAGCTCATTTTTCGGTGCTAAAATGCAATATAAATATTGGAACAATTAAAACGATCAAAAAATCTTCGCGTTATTTAAAAAAAGAACGGTAAAAATGGAGCAATTTAGTTATTGCATTTCCGATTTTCATTCGCACAATATATAATTCTAATATCGTGAAAACATGAAGAAGCGTGATAAACTTCAAATAAAAATATTTCGAATGTTTTTATTGCATTTTAACAGCATTACTTCTTGAAATCTGTTCTACAGCTTTTAATTGGGTACTGGAACAAAATTATTTTAAATTGATTTAGAATATTTTTAAAATAATTTTGTATACTGTTATATTAGAATAAATAAACTAACTTCTATCAGCAGGCAGGGGGCAATGAGTAGAAATTTTTGGAAAAAACGTTCATATGTTCAAAGGACATGTAATATTTGACAAAACAGTTACAATAAGGTAAGTTAAGGTCAATAAATACGCGAATATGCATCGAATGAAAAATGGTCACTAACTTGAAAGAATTACAATATTACATTAGCGAAGTTCATATTTCGTAGATATTTTAGGGACGTACACAAGAGTTGCATTCCATTAGCAATAAAATATATATTGCAAAAATAAAAAAATACAGATTGACTGTGCCATGGTTGTAACTGTATTTTTCCTAATTCACAAACATATCTTTAACACAGCTGATACTCGTTCTTGACAGGGTTGATCAAAACCCAGTTTCTATGAAAAAAACAAGTTTTATGTTTAAACCAGATTTATTGGGTTTAAGCAATTTGCGTTTAAATAGCCACTGAAACTAATAGAAATTGAAAAAACACATAATTGTATAGTTCCTTTTAGACACATTTTCTTTTGGTCACTGTCAAAGAACCAGCTTTCCACCTGCTAAACAATATTAGGTAGCAGGTGGATAGCATTATTTAATAGGTAGAAAGTGAGTTCTGTGAAGTGGCCAGAAAAGAATATGTCTGAAGGCAACACATTTTATTTACATATAAAACATATTTAAAAAACTGAATTCGAGGCCTTTTCAGTACCCAGTCTATTACACAGCATACTTTGTATTAAGTCCAAAGAAGAAAAATTCTATCTGCACCTGCTGAAGATGCTCGTGCGGTGTGTAGTTATAATCATAAATTTTAATTTTATCAATACTCATTTTCCCTTCATGAATATCATTTTTTTTTCGATTTCTGGCACTACAGTATATCAAAATAAGGTCACTAAATCTGGTGAAAAAGGGTGCATTTATTGTAATGTGTTCTTGTCAAAGAAAAATTTCATTTCAAGTTTGTTTGTGTTACAAAAAACATGTTTTTTTTCCTGAAAAATAGATAGTTGGTTTAGACCGTGATTTAAACCAGGTTGATTTAAATCTGCCAACCTTAACTCTTGCACACATCAATGATTTTTTAGTAATACTCCAAATACTCCACGAACTGTTGACATTGTTTACTTATTGAATTTTCAGGTATTGCTATATTTATATTTATAATGAAGCAAGTAAATTCAAATCGCACGCGGATGACAAGAGAATTGTCACACTGACAGTGTCAAGCATAGTTGTAGAACGACAAAACTTTCGAGTCACACGAAATAAACATATCGTCTTGCGAAGATTTCAAAAACTGAAGAATATATAAGTTTCGGTACAACCTGAAGTGCCACCATTTTGAAAATATTTTAGCGGAATTCGTCATATCAGTTATACCATAATCCCATGTTTTCATAATTATCTAACGTTAAGTTTTCGTAATCGATCTTTGCAGTTTTATGTGGGACATCCTGTATAGGTCTTTTCAGTGCTTTTGGCGGATCACTGTAAAACTATCAGCATCACTTTCACAGCTCCATCTTCCTAACACATAGGCATGTAATCTACCCCTATGTACAGACGTTCACGTCGTTTTTTTTTAGTTCAATATCGCAGACCCAAACATTTGATAACCAAATTGAAATGAGCGTAGAATTTGAATTTAACCTCTGGTGATCTTGGACATCAAAAACATAGCAATACTTAAAACATAATCAATGGATATACTGTCGACAGCTTGTGCAAAACTTATTTGGTGAATGATACAAAAAACGTTTTTTATCCTTTCCATGTGTACAAGTGCAAGTAGCAGCTGCGTTAAGGAAGGCTTGTGTAGTGTACAATTCCCCTTATAGTCCGGCAAATATCTTCACATCAGATGGGAAAAATATTCTGATTCGGATTTTTTGCATAATCTTATTCAAAAAGGGCTCCTTTTAATGAACCTGTATGTTGCCAGGACCAAGTCTGCGTCAGAATGTTTAAACATTTTTTTTTACAAATTTCGAAACTTGTTTCACTCCGGTCAAAGTGCTTTTGGCATTTTCTCTATAGTTTTTTTTATTTTGAGATAAAGGCGATACAATAATTAAAAAAGTGCGAAATATGTCATTTTCGACCCTGAAAAAATTTGAAAAATGAAAATTTCAATGTTGCCAGTAATCCTAAATATTCTTCAAACATCCATTAAAATTCCCAAAGCATTTCAGGACGAATTGTTATTGTAAACCTTTGTTTTTCAAGTGAGTGCGAGAGAGATGCAACGGCGGAGAGCCATTGGGCGCCTGCTCGATTAGCAATAAAAAAACAAAGGTTTATAATAACAATACGTCCTGAAATGCTTTAGGATTTTGGTAACATTCAAATTTTTTGTTTTTTATATTGTTTTTGGAGTCGAATATGACATATTTCGCACCTTTTCAAATATTATATTGTTTATAACTTGAAAACTAACAACTTTATAGAAAAGTTCTAAAGCATCTTTTTGTACAGAATCTCCCAAAACACCTAAACGCACTTTGACCTGAGTGAAAAAAAAACAATTTTTGGAATTTGTTTGAATAAATTACATTTTTTGACTCAAGCTTGGTCCTAATAACATGCAGATTCGTTAAATGGGGTCCTTTCTGAATAAAATTATGCACAAAATCAGAATAGTTTCCCATCGGATGCGGAGATAATGGCCGGACTATTAGGGAAGTTAAGCTCCGCACATGGTACAGTTCAGATCTTTTTACTTATATCCCGATAATTCCTATCTATATATACATTCTTTAATATAATATTTCTCTAAATTGTGTTCTCGGAATAAGATATGTTGTACTAAGATCTGAGTTTGTTGGGGTATTTCAATCTTTTGATACCTGTTAAACAATACAGGATCCGCCGTACTCAACAGTTGCTGTAAAATCTGGACCACTCCCATCTCTTTTAATTTTGCTTGTCGGTCAATTGAACCAGGCTCCCCTCTCCTAGTAAGGTTGTTTATACAGAAAACTGCTGATTCCTACAAAAAAATATCATCCATGAGATTTTATTTATATTTTACAACATATACAAAAATACAGTTATAAACGGCGAAGTCTGGCCTAAACCGTTGATTAACATGTTCCATCTGAATATAACCAACCTTGTTCGGCAAACTGACTTATACATACAATTTGGCCTCTGACAGAGATGTTGCCAAATAGGATCAGCGTAATTTGCTTAGAAATAATAAAAGTATACTACATTTATCGTTAAACAAGGGATTCTTACTACACGACACTAACCTGCGAAAGAAATATCAACCCACCTACATCCGTAGTTGTTCCTGGGATTCATACTCTTAGATGGAAAAAGAATTCCAACATTCTCCGCAACGGTGTGATGTTAAACTACCAAAATTCACTCATGGTAACTAAGGTTCTATAGTATCTTATTGTAACACATTTAGTGGCCAAACAATTATGGCGTCCTTTCACCCATAGATGACGCACTCTCATTTTCGAAGTCTTAAGTTTGACAGGTTCATTTCAGACAGATGCTAACTGTGGTTTGTTTTCAATTACCAATTAAAGTAAAATGAAAAGAAACAATTATTTTAATTACTTTGTCAAAAAACATAATCTCAGATATGACGGAAAACTGAAGATCTGATATTTGAATGCTTGATCAACAGCAGAAGATATTCCAAATACATCATTATTTCATCATAGGAGTATATATTTTATATGAATATAATTTTCAATGATTTTTTTGTGAACTGATTTTTTTAATGACAGTGATATCTGTGTCTGAAGAACATCAACTGTATTTTTTATCAATTATCAAAACTAGGAAAAAATTATTCGACTTGTGCAAGACGGGCACCAAATTCCCATATTAAAACAAAAATGCTACATATTCACCTGGTTTAGATACAAAAACCTATATTTTAATAGTGTCCTAAACGAACCATGGATCAAACATGATACAATAGATTGACATGACACCATTGCCGAGCATTTTATTGAAAATTCTGCTTGAGAAATTATTTGAGGACATAAATAAAATTATAAAGGAGCTTATTCTTTAACATCGTTGCGACCGCAATGCCAATTGTACCTTAATTTCTATTTGCTCCACCGCTGTTTTTTCTTGGCACTATAGTTTTTTCGAAAAAAGAGGAAGAGTGCACTCTAACCGCAAGCAGAACAAGGCCAGCCGTAGAATCGCTAGAACCGCTGTTAGAATCACGCACTTTTGCTAACGCTGTTTTGTGAAACCGCTATTTTTTATAAACTCTAATTACTGTGGGTGTTAGCAGTTCCAGAAGAGACCAGGAGCCCATGCCGACGTCCACACCACAGGATCAAGGTAAGCACCTTCTTTTTTTTTGGTTCTTTCCTTGGCCGCTTAAGGTCCTTAATTTGGGACATTGTCGCACCCGCCACAAACATACATCGAGTAAATAATGGATTTAATTACTTGCCCTTAACAGGGAGGCATTCTGTAATTTTATTCATGTTCTCGAAGATGAAAGAATGTATCAAGCAGAACTTTGTACAGCAACAGTGAGACACTGATATTATTTCAAAGACGAATTCCAGATATATGTGGTTTCATTGGCCATACAAACATAGGAGATTATCGACATGAACATGTTACAAATAAGAAAAATGTAAGTAAACTGTACAACTATTGCAGGAAGACATGAAATGTACTCAACTGGGAAAATAGCGTTCGTAAATACAGGCATGAACCAACTGTTAAGAACACCGCAACAAGCCAGGGGAAACGCATGATAGCGCTTTTGGGACGGAAATAAGAAGTGTAGCGCATATTTACCTGTATTTGAATCATTACATTACACTGATAATTGACAATTAACCTGAACCAAGTGTCTAATTACTTTACAGGTTAAATTACAGCTACTAGAAAGGACAACACAATCTGTTCTATTGACTTACCTCATAATCAATAAATCCAGGATGTACTATAATAATTTTCTAATAAACATTTTTCTGTGTGCGTCGTATATTTTATTGTAAATATTCCCAGTCACTAAAAATATCTAGATATGTGAACAACAGCTCTGAATACTCTTCTGAGTTGTACCAGATTTACACCTGATTCATTATTGCCAACGTTACAGACTAATACAAAGATGTGACTTGCTGATTAGCTGTTCACTTCAGTCGCCACAAAATGTAATGGTTACGCATGAAATAGGCTGTATGCAACCTTTGACCACAATTGCTGCATCAGAGGTGACAGCGTATTATTTCTCGAATTTCGACTCCATGAATAGTGCAGATGCAGTACTAGTAGAGGCAAAAACAAACGACTTGTCACCAATTTGTACTCCGAAAAAAAACCACCGTGGTGGCCGAAACCACAGGAAATCTTTCAACATTTGTAGGTTTATTATACGTAGAGGCGAATAAAACATGGTATATGATCACTGAGACTATTACAGGATTCTTAGAAGTTACATTAAGTTCTGTTCTAATGATGTTTTACCTGTAAGCAAACTGAGGGATGTGTCATGTATCCTACGAGCTTCTTCAGAACATCTTCATTGGACATGATATGCTCTCTTGCTCTTTCTCCATCCGCTATATTTCCCAGTATACAGAGTGCCTGCTCCTTAACATCGGGTGGATGAGCTCCTTCTAATACTAATACCACTCCTTGCATCACTTGTGGGCCATGTAAAGCCATCATTGTATCTGTGTGGGCTCTAGGAGATACTAAGTTGCGTAACAGACCTAGAGTCTTCATGAGGACCTGCACAAATACATCTTTATCAAACAAAGCAACAGTCCAAGATCTCAGGGCTGATTAGGGACATTATTTAATTTTCTGAAAAACAATACATGAGGCATTGAACAGCATTTATGCGAGGTGTGATAGCATTTTTATCTGTAATCATTGCTTACTTTGTCTGTGGCAGCCGCTAAGGTTAGACGTATTTCTATGAGCTTGGCGAATTTCGTTTGTTAAAAGAAATGGATCAAAGAATCTGTATCAAATTTTGCGTGGAAAATATGGTACAACAAAGTGTGTGAAATGTTAACAAAGGCCTACGGTGAGTTTGCTATGAGTAAAACAAGAGTTTACGAATGGTGGGAGCATTTCTAAGATCGCCGTGAATACGTTCAATATAACGAACGCCCCAACTACCCATGAAAACGTGGAAAAAGTGAAAGAAATGATTGTGCGCGTTGGACGAATTACAATAAGAGAAGTTGCCAATGATGTTGGCATATCGACTGGCTCATGCCATGAAATTTTTTCGAATGTTTTGGTTATGAAAAACAATTCATAGCTTTTGCACCAAGATAATGCAACTGCTCACACTTCATTGCTTGTTCTTAAATGTTTGGCCAAAAACAATACTGTAACGCCAGACATAGCTCCGTATTGACTATTTCCTATTTCCAAAAATAAAGAGAACCTTAAAGCCGTCGTTTGACAAGCATAGATGACATTAAAAGCGCTTCCCTGAAAGATGTAAACTCTACCCCAAAGATCGAGTTTGAGAAGTGTTTCGAGGATTTGAAGAAGCGTGGATACAAGTGAATAATATCTAATGGGGACTAGTTTGGAGACAACATTAATGTAGATGAATAAATAAATATTTTTTTCAAAAAACCTCGACTCTATGTAATAAATTCGACTTTAGACAGTATGACTGATGTTTTCATTACAATATAAGCATATATTTCAGCTCATTCAATTTAACGATTTCCTTTTGACTGGGAGATGAAAGGGGTCCCTCAAAGGTGATGCCGCCGACATCTATACATGGTCTAGCTCCGCGACTGGCCAGACATACATATCAACGCTATTCAATGCACGACGTTTTGTCTTTAAAAAAAAAAAATAATATCTGGCAGCCCTCGGATTTACTCTGCAAGGAATGATACACAAAGGAGAATACATAGTGATGTAGAAAGGTGAAAGATTTCAAAAACCACTATAGTGATGAAAAACTTTTACAAATATCAATTTTTTTTATGTGCAAACTGCCTTCTTTTTCATAACGATTATACTGACTGTTATCTGAATAGAGACTGAAATATACCTTAGTGTCACTATCTGCCAGCAACCTGAATACTTGATCTGTACCTAGTGCAGTTATTATCTGTGATTTGACCCTTTGCTCTGCCCTAAATGCCAGGTTCATTAATGCCCATACCCCATTCAGCCGAAGATCAGGCTCCGATCTAGAGACAAGAATAAATTGTGATATAAAAGTTTGATAATGATTATAAACATGCTGTCATACTTTTTGCGATCTCAGTAAAGCTTTTGATTGTGTGACCACAAGCTCCTAATCCACAAACTTAAATACTATAATTTCAGCGATATTATCATTTGTTTCCTTACATCACATTTAGCAAATAGAATCCAGGTAGTCAGGGTGGAAGAAGTGGTGTCTTAGGACAGGGAACTGTCCATCAAAGTTCCACAGGGCTCAGTATTGGGTCCTATATTATTTCTGATGTACATTTATGACTTGACTTTGGCAAGTACAGATGCTGTTTTGACCCTTTTCGTACACGACACAACTCTCCCCCACAGCAGGCTCTCTGGTTGAAGCAATATTGGGAATGGAAGCTGTACAGTATGGATAATAAGGCATGGTTCGATGCGAGTAGACTTCTGCTAAATCAAAGCAAAATCCAACAGATGCTGTTCTCACTACGAAAGCTAGGCGATGTAAATATGAATACATCATCTGCAAAATTCCCGGGGGTGCGTGTTGACCGGCATCTTAAATGGAATGTCCACATGAACCAGGAGACATAAAAACTTGGGTCTGGACTGTATGTGTTATGACGCCTAGTGGAATGCGTGGGTACATCTGTGTTAAAAATACCTTATTATGCATTATTTTATTCCATAATGTCATAAGCTTTACAGATCTGAGGATGCGTGGTGCAGTCACATCGTGTCTTTGGCCTCATGGGAAGGCCATCAGAATAATTTAGGGATTGGATTTTAAGGCTGATAGTGGGCAGGTTTTTAGAGTACCTAGGAATTTTAACTTTGCCCTCCCAATACATCATTTCTCTATATAAAGAATAACTTTGCTATGTTCAGAATGCGCAGTGATTTTCACGACAAAAAAAAACAGGTTCAAGAGTAATCTAATGCCAGAGTACTTCCGGTTAACAAGGTAAAACAAGTCTCCAGAGTACCAGGTCATACAATGTTTTAATAATCTGGCAAGAGATAAGACATGCCTGTTAACAAATTTAAAGAAAATGTGGAAAACGTCTTAATATCTGGTGCTTTCTATAGTATTGATTATTTCTCCAGCAAACATTTTAAACTTTTATTTTGTTGTTTGATGTTTTATAATTCCTACTCTTATTTTTATTTCACATTTAAGTCACATTTTACTTTCAGATCTTTGAGTACATATTTATATTGACACCATTAAGTTTGAATTGAATAACAATGAGCCCAAATTTGGCATTTCGGCATGCAAAACTTTGCAGTCGTACCAGAGAACCTGACACATCAATAAAAACAATCTATAAGTAAAATAACTAAAAATTATTAATATACCAGATAATATTTACAAAATTCCATTATAACGCACATTTTTTCTGTTTTGGGGACGGATAAAAATAAATACCTTGATGCTAAGTTAGCCAGTAACTGTACAACACCTTGCTGTAACATAGGCTCTTTGGCAGGAGAGAATTCTAGAAGCAAATTGCATAAAGCTGAAGATGCTGCAGTCAGTAGTTCTGTGCAAGGAGAATCTGGAAAAAATATATACAACATACAGTAGTGGACAAAAGTATATAGACAAATTAATATTGTGTTGTATTTCTTTTTTAACTTGTTTTATTAATACACCAACCTGTATACATAATTCGTTATAGCATAATACTCTCTTATACATAAATAAATTCATTAGACTCCCTTCAATAAAAAATTAATTGAAAAAAACTATGAAGGACAAAAATATACAGGGTGACTTTGAAGTTGAGTCATTAATTTCCAGATAATGATTGTAGAAGGAAGATAAACCAAAATATGTGTGTAAAAATAAAAAAAAAATGTTACCTTGTTTAATAAAGTATCCTCCCGACAAGTATTTCAGTGCGGACCTGTATTTGATCGTGCGGTCTTGGAGCACCGGCATGCTCTCACCTGTGAGGTCTTAAGTCACCTGATTCACGAGCCCTTTGTACTACATTAACAAAGGCACGAGGGGTTGGTTGCACTCGATTGGGAAACCGATTCGCATAAATCCGTGATGCATCCGGCAGCATTTTGTAAAGACTATTTTTTCATCCAGAAAGAATTTCTTTGCGAGATTTGAAGTGTGCTTGGGGTCATTATCTTGCTGGAAGATTGATGTTAAGGGCATATTGCCTTCCATATAGGGTAACATGACATGCTTTAGTATGTCTGTGTATACAAACTTATCCATAATGCCATCTATTCTATGTAAAGGTCCCAACCCAAACCCCGAAAAGCACCCCCAAACCATAACAGACACGCCTCCATGTTTGACAGTGCGCAAAGTGTACTTGGGGTTCAATCTTTGTCCACTAGGACGTCTAACGTAATGAACACCATCTGATCCAAACATATTGAACTTGGATTCGTCACTAGAACATACCCTCTTTCAGTTACAGATGCTCCAATCAAGATGCAACCGTGCAAATTGTAATCGGTCCTTACGGTTTTTCCTCCAGATTAGAGGCTTCTTACTCGGGCGACGGGCAAATAACTCCTAATCATTTAATCTTCTACTTATAGTTTTCGTAGAAACACTGGCAATTCGTTTTATCTCGATTTCGGCTTTTATTTGTCTTGAGGTTTTAAGCGGATCTTTGGACGAAATTACTTTTATTAATCTAACTTGTCTAGCATTTAGTTTTCTAGGCCGACCAACTTCTCTTAGAGGCTTCCAAGATACCTTTTTGTTTATATTTGTTCAATATTGCTGGAAATTTTCCCATGTCCAACCCATCCCAAAAAAGGGATCTAAGACCGACCCTTACAACTACAGGCCTATAGCTCTGCTTTCTGTTTTAAGTAAGGTGATGGAGAGGTGCATAAATCGCGAGCTTCTGGACTACCTCGAACGTCACAGCTTGATTAGCGAAAGGCAGTATGGTTTCCGGTACCAACCATCCACAGGGGACCTCCTAGCTTACGTCACTCAATTGTGGAGTAAACTCATCCAGTCTTATGGTGAGGCTCATGTCGTTGCTCTTGACATCAAGAAGGCGTTCGACCACCTGTGGCACGGTGCCCTCTTGAGCAAACTTCCATCCTATGGCCTCCCAGAAAAGCTTTGCAGATGGGTGGCTGACTTCATCTCTGGCCGCAAGATATCCGTCGTAATTGACGGGTTCTCCTCTTCATCCCACAACGTCAACGCGGGTGTTTCCCAGAGATCGGTCTTGGCTCCGACACTGTTTTTCTTACATAACAACGACCTCCCTTCCTGCACGATCAACCCAATCCACAGCTTCGCTGATGACAGCACTCTACATGTAGGAATTCAGAGTGACAAACCGATCTCTGCCGCTGAGTTGGAAAAAAGAAGACTAGCGATGACTTCCTCTCTGACAAGAGACCTGGAGGCTATCACTGCTTGGGGACGCAACAATCTTGTACAGTTCAATGCTTCCAAAACACAGTACTGTACTTTGACGAACAAAGAGCGTCCCTGCGCTCACACGGTTTCGATGGATGGCCGAGTTCTGCCAAAGAACCATTCATTTCGGCTGGTCGGAGTCCAGATCACCGAGGACCTGATCTGGCACGAACACATCTCGTCAATAGCTGCAGCCCCTGGGAAAAATCTAGGCTATTTGTTTAGGGTTAAGAATTACTTTTCTCCGCATGACCTTCTCACTGTATACAAGGCCCAGACTTATCCTAGCCTTAGCCTAGCCTCGAGTATTGCTCACACGTTTGGGGTGCTGCCGCCCCGACTACATTATCCATGCTCGATGCTGTCCACAGGAGGGCGGTCCGACTGGTCGATGACTCTTCTCTAACAGATAGTCTCGGGACTCTTTCGCACCGGCGGGCTGTAGGCGATCTAGTTCTTTTCTACCGTTACACCAACGGGCTTTGCTCCTCAGAGCTCTCTTCCATGATGCCGCCGCGCGATGTGCCTGCCAGACAGACCCGCCTGACTTTGGCATCCCATCCTAACCGTGTCGAACTTCGTACATCCAGAACTGGCCGATACGACCGCTCCTTTGTCCCAAGGGTGTCGAGATTGTGGAACAATCTACAAGTTATATTAACCTTAAGCAGTTCAAAAATCGTATTAACAAATTTCTTTGGGATCATCATAGCAGCCGCGGTGTTCCGGCATTTAGGCTTCTGCCTGCGCAGCCGCTTCGATATAAAAATAAACGGCTTTACGCTTCAGCTTCAAATTTTGGCAATGTCGACTTGACGTTGATCATTTTTGTATAACGCAATGATCTTAGTTTTCACTTCGAAAGAAATTTCTGGACCAAGCGGCATGGTCTTAAAATCACACAACTTATTCCACAATACTTGATGAACACAAACTAATTCTCTTCTGACACGAAACTGTACTAAACTAATCTTGAAAAGAATTTGTCTACATATTTTTGTCCCTCATAAAAAAGTGCTTATATTCAGATATGCAGATAATGTAAAAACAAAGGAATTTAGTTTTTCTACTAATAACGCATTTGTTTATGGAGCAATGAAGTATGAATTCGTTTTCTAAAGGTATTTAGGTAAATATTCATATTTGCCTATATACTTTTGTCAATTACTGTATATTGAGAAATTTTCTAAAAATCAACAAAATTATAAGGGACAACCAATTTGGCTTTCAACAAAAAAAAATACCATGGATGCTATTTTAAGATTACCCCAATAGTTAAACTCAAATTTAAAAGATAAACAGATTTTGGTTGCTATTTTTTGTGTTTTCAGAAACTTTGGTTTGTGTAAATCATGATACACTATTACAAAAATTAAACAAAAATTTTACTAATCATGTGGACCAATTGCTTACTCAACTAGCAAAGATTTCATTTATTATAGGAACAATAAGATACATCATAGGTAAAAGCACAGGCATAAGCATTTACTTTGCCTTTTATTTGAAAGTAGATTGTGGTATAGCATGCCATTTTGGTGTGTCTATTTCCGTAATTGTTTTTAAAAAAGTACTTATTCTACAAAAACAAACTATTATATAACTAAAAGCAATCCTACAACTACATGCATGTCTTAATTTTTAGATCGACAATAAAGCATATCTATCTATCTATTGATATTGTTGAATCTGTCAAAGGTTTCTATTGCTAACAAATACACTGCTGAATAGATAAAATTGATATCAATGTGGATATTTTCTCAAATGGAGACTACAAATCTGTACATACCTGTTAAAAGTACCATCAGGGGTCTCCAAACAGAATGATCCTGAAATGTTGTTCTTAGCTGTTGGACTGAACGGCTTAGCGAGTGCAAACACCTTACTGCAGCCAATCTTATTTCCTTATTATCATCACCTAAACCATCTACAACCCTGTCCATTAGACATTTTGTGTCAATTATCCGTTTTCTAATATCTTCATCGTTAGCTGCTAGAGATGCAAAAGCCCTGAAAAAAATTTGCTTCCAGTAGGTTTACTCTGCACTTCCCACGTGCTGTAATTTTGTTTGTTTAAGATTTATTTATCATGATTGCTACATTACATATTTAGAAAAAAACAAAGAATTTTCACCGTCCATGAAATATTCATTTGTGGCGATCCTGACCTAAAATAGAGCGCCGTTAAGACCGATCGGCAATCAATCCTAAACAGATTCGACACAATTCATAAATGTGTACGCTCAAATAAAATCATTATTTTGGCATTAAGAATAAACTAATGCATATATTCAATATGAATCTTGATTCAAGGAACTAGTGTAACATATTGGCAGATTGCCGCATCAGCGAGGATGAGCTTCGCTATCCAGGCGGCTTCTATCTCTCTTTCTAAAAGTCTTCCTGTTTATAATTCAAAGGACAATTCTTGTCGTGAATAGCATTTTCTAATAACGATTTTTATTATCAAAAACTCGTGTGGAAGTAGTGTAAACCACAGGAATATGTTTCAGATTAGTGCGAAGGAGATTGGTTTTGGAGAAGGAGATGCAATATTCAAAGAAATGCAATAGTTACTTTGGCAATGAACACATTTTTATCCAGCATGTTGATACAACAATAAATTGATTGATTGATGAATTGAAATGTAGAGTTTATTCACATATTTATCTGCTCTTAATCTGACTCTGAAAGTCATGGTCGGTCACGGATATACTTGAGCGTAAAATTGTCCATAATTAATATTTCAAGAATCATGAATAGTCGATCCTCGTTAAAAATTCATTTAATGTTCAAATGACCTTGATGGCCATAGTCAAGTTCATGGACATACTCGAAAATACTTTGAAGTTTTTCCCCAATAGTTGAGCTGCCCGTTTTATGTGACCATGTTTTAAATTTTCTCCTAAATAACTTACATTGATAAAACCAAACAATACAATTATTCCGCGTACCAGGGGATTTTTCGTCTAACATATGAATAGACTTACAGGCATCCTTATTTGATAATAATGATTATTGGTGTTGTATATGCAATAGCATTACACAAGTCAAAAAGAGAATAGTGGTTAGATTTAAAATATACGTAAAATATAGGATTGAAGAAACATTCATAGCAAATGCAAGACACATTAAAACAGATACATAAAATAAAATGTTATAAAAGGCTTTCCTAATTGAGTATCCTTTGAGTGCCTACTTAAAATGTTCCATATTTAGTGAATTCACTGACTCTGGTAACATGTAAAACTAAAGACCATAGTACTATATGGAACTACTACATTTCGACCAAATGTGGTTTGGTCGCTATAAAAGTCCAAGATTCTAATGTAGTTGATTATATTTCCCATATAATACACAAAACGCTCCAAGATATATGTATATAAATGGTAAAGTCACACGCATTGCAAACACTCTAGAAGCATGTGAGGAATGTCCCTACAACTGTATTCCATGAAATATGGGAGTGAAAGTAGCTACGATAAGCTTGCAATATGACATTCTGAAACACACAATTAACTAGATCACTAAGTTTTTTGGTGAGGTTATTGACCTGCCCTTCCCAGTTCAAGCAACGGTCCAGATGGAAGCTACGAGATTTTACATAGCTTTTTACCATGATATACCAATCAGAAATCCATTGTATGTGTTTTGTCTTTGTTCAAGGCTGCTATATTTGTATAGAACCAAACTTGCATTGCAGTTTCTTGGCTAAGGTCTTCAAGTTCACTTCCACTGCAGATGTGCATACTGTCATCAGCATATAGTACTAGACATTGAGTTTTGCATTTGACGATGTCATTAATAAAAATTATGAACAAAGTGGACCCAGATTGGATCCCTGGGGTACCCTTAACCTAACTGTTTGACTTATCTTATTCCAGTGCTACACAGTTACCTACCAAGAGAAAAAATTATGATAGCTTCTTTATGATTCTGGAATGAAATTGGCAGTTAGTCATTAGCTTGATGATGGTCAACTAGCATCAACATAAGGGATGCCTCAGCCTTTACTTTACCAATTTATAGACAGTGTTGTCATTTTCATATTCACAATAGTGTTTATATAGCATCTATAGCAGGCCTCTCCAACTCGAGCACTTGGTGCTGGTGCGCTCCGGTGCTGAACCCAGCGGCACCGGTGCCGTTCCCCCTCCACCTCGACCGCACAGCCGTCGCGACAGAGACAAACATATTAGCCGACTGTCTCATGGGCGCGGGCCATTACTTAATAGGACAAGACAAAGTGGATAGGTTTTTTAGCGTCTTAACGTGCATCTTTTTTTAAACGATGTCAATCAATCCTGCATGGAAGAAGCCTATTTTTTGTAAATACTGATGGAAAAGCAAAATATTTAATTTGTCACACGGTATTGATGCCCGCCCTTCTAAGTTTTGAAGAGGTAATTATTAATTTGGTCGTAGTTGATTATTATTAATGGTGTCGTAATGCAAGTTATATTGTTGCTTTGAAAATCGCAAAAAGTGGGAGACCGTTTACTGACGGTGCACTTGGCAAAGAATGCTTAGTGGAGTGTGCAGAAATATTGTGCCTATCTCCTGTAAGCAACTTTGAGACAATTAGTATGTCCGAGCAAACAATTTCTCGTCGGATACTTGAACTTGGTGCAGATTTAAAAGAACAACTGCGGAAAAATGTGCCCATTTTGTGCAGTATTCTATAGTTCTCGATGAAAGTAAAGACATTTCTAACACAGCATAATTAGCTGTTTTCGTTAGAGGTGTCGAAATAGTCTTTACTATCACCGACGAACTACTAGACGTTATCCCGCTCAAAGATACAATGGCCAGAGAAGATATTTTTGATGCTGTAGAATACACAATGAATGACATGGGTATACTACTTAAAAGTTTGCGTAGTGTTGTTACTGATGGAGCGCCAGCAATGTTATCGGAAGCATTGTGTTACGCGCTGGTTAAGCTGCGCAAAAGTGCTAAAGTTTTTTTTTTAAATCATTGACGACGTTGAGATGTTTATAAAAATGAGATTTTTACGATGCCATCTTCAGTGCTTTTCGAAATAGAACCGCTGCAGTTCCAAATGGAGCTGATTAAGCTTCAATGCGCTACGATCCTTAAGGTTAGATCTACCACTACAATAGTAATTTAATTTCGTTTTATCAAGGTATTAAGCAGCAAGATTTTCCCAAAATTCTTGCACTGGCCTTGGAAACTTGCTATATGTTCGGTACAACGTACTTCTGCAAGCAGATATTTTCTTTAATGAATTTGAACAAAACTAAGGTCTTTGTCTAATGTGTCCTTAGAGGCAATACTCAGAATTTCCACTGCTCAAGCCACTGTACCAAATCTTAGAAAACTTGTTCAATCGAAATGCTGTCAAAGATCACCTTAAGAATAAATGCGTTTACGTCGAAATTATGAACATTATTTTATCACCCGCGCGTTGACTCGACCAGACCAATTCAAATGTCAATACGAATGTCACTCCACTCATTTCCCGTTGGGGCTGGGAGCCGGCGAAATTAAACCTTATCGCGGATTTGACTAAACTTAGTAATGATATGAAGTTTCAAACTAAATGAACAAAAAGGGCTTGGTATGGCGATGAAAGTACCTGTCATATCGACTTGAAGAAACAACGTGACGGTAGGATTTTACCTTAACATATACGTATATCAACGATCATGACGTTTGATATTCATTTTACATACGTACATACTTTCAAACATCTAGAAGCCTGGTGTCAAACTGACAGACTCAAATGAGCTTTTAAATGCAAGCATGAAGCATACAAACAGAATGTATTATTTTTATCTATTTGCATTGCCTGCTATAGCTTTCAGTCGGTACGACAGAAACTTCTGGCGGAAATCAGTTTGTCATACCATGTTATTCCAAATGAGCCTAAAATTTCCATCAAACCTTGTAGGCTTCATTGGATTTGGTGAGCACGGTGAAATTCTCTTGTCACGCTGTATCTTTAAGTCAGTTTGACAGGTACTTCTGGCAGGTTGCGTCCCGGCTTACTGAGCTCTTCTTGTTCATTTACTTAAAAACTACATACTATTACTAAATTTAGTCGAATCCGCGATGAAGGTATACTCAATGCCACCAGCTCCCGGGTCATTTCTATTCGCAGGGTGCTAGGGTTAGCACAACACCTTCCTCGCGATGCGTATGCCGCTGCCTAATCCCTCCCCCACATTCACGGAGTAACCCCGCAGCACTGTGCTGCGAGCGGCTGCACTGGTGGCACCCGAGTTGGAGAGGCCTGATCTATAGGATACCATTTGTAACTTTGTAACAAGACCTCTACTGAATATTGGATTTTTGTGTATTGGTAGTCCATCTTCTAAATCAAGACAACACTGAAATACACAACATACCTGAAGGCAGCTCTCCTGGCTTCAACTGAAGGACACTTGAGCAGATCAACTAAAGCACTGACCAACTGGTTACTAATAGCTGCAACCTGTTGCAGATTGCTATCAACTTCAGTTAGATATGCTAAAGTGTCTGCTGCTATAGCTCTGTGCATTTTGGAATGCTCCACCTGAAATGTAAACAATGTGATGATCAAACAAAAAATTGCATATTTAGGTTTTTGGATAAGTTGAAAAATGGTAACACTCTGCCATATTGATTCTTGAGCCCTAAATTAAGTATATTATACAAATTGAATAAAGGCATTATACTCTTATTATTATCATCATTATCCTTGGTAACTGGGTGGTTAGCATGTCGAGCTAGCACCACGGGGCTCGCCGGTTTGAATCTCCGCCTCGGAAGTTAATTTAGTGACATATGTTAAGTTGTGAGTTGCCTATATCATGCACCTGGGTACAATATTAACGATAGATACACAGTAAATCGCTTGTGGAGTAGTACAATGTTGATGCTGTGAGGTCAGCAAAATGGCTTTAAGGTTGCCTAGTTGCCAAGCTTCGCCTCCCCACCACCACTACTACTACAACATCATTATAATGATCTGAAGTGAGTCAGAAAATTGCTGATGATTTTTTTTTTCAAACTATGTGGATAAGCTGCTAATATATGCAAAAATTCCTATAGGAAAAATCATATCAAGTAGATAGACTTGATACTTTATATGAATTTTTGTCAATTGCCAGTATAAGATTTTAATAGAAGTTTTTTTGCTAGTTCTAGTTAATCAAAGTGAATTTATGTAACCTATTATCACAAAACATTAGATTTGAACATAGGTATATTAACAACATAATAGGTATTACACACTGAAGAAATTAGATATGCTAATAGTGAAATTCCTGTGCTCATTGAATAACTGTTTAAACTAAGCGGCAAAATTA